TATTTTCTTGGAGAAAAAATTAATGGGCAATATGATTGTTTATAGAGTATAGAGGTTGAGTATCCCTTGTCTGAAATGATTGGAACCAGAAGCGTTTTAGATTTCAGATTCTTTTAGATTTTGGAATAGTTACATATACGTAATGAGGTATCTTGGGAATGGAACCCAAGCCTAACCACAAAGTTCATTTATATTTCATATACACCTTATACACATAGCCTGAAGAAAATTTCATACAGTATTTTAAATAACTTTGTGCATGAAACAAAGTTTTGGCTACATTTTGACTGCAATTCATCACATGAGGTCAGGTGTGGAATCTTCCTCTTGTGACATCATGTTAGCACCCAAAATGTTCTGGATTTTGGAACATTTTAGATTTTATATTTTTGGATAGGGATACTTAACCTATAAAATACAAAGCATTTTATATCCTCTTATAAATATGACATGTTCAACTATTCTGCAAGGCAAGCAAGGCTTAGATGAAATTAAGTCTCAGAAAACTTGAGGTTGTTCTCAAGGTCACATTGCTACTTGTTCATTGAGTCTTGCCTTCAACTTCAAACTCTATGTCCTTCCTCTAAACTCAAACTTCCTTTAAAATGTTAAATTATTTCATTGACTATTATTGGGAAGTTATTAACCTCTGCTACTCTGATGAGACCAGGAGCAATCATGGAGATAAAAGGTTTTGAATCTATTAGTTTTTTATGGCTGCTGAAACAAATTACTACAAATTTAGTGGCTTAACAATGCAAATGCATTATTATGCAGTTTTGTAGAGCAGAAATCCAACACAGGTCTCCCTCAGCTGAAATCAAGATGTTGGCAGGACTACATTCCTTTCTGGAGGTTCTAAAGAAGAATCCATTTCCTTGCCTTTTACATTTTCTAGGGAATGGCCTGCATTTCTTGGATTGTGGCTCCTTTCCTTTATCTTCAAAGCTAGCAATGGCAGATTGAGCACTTCTAATATAATATATTTCTAACCAAGGCAGCTGGGAAAGGTTATGGATTTTAAGGACTCATGTGAAGAGATTGGGACTACTGTGTAATTTAGGGCAATTCCCCATTGCACATCCTATGTAATTTAGGGCAATTCCCCATTGCACATCCATACCCTTAATCACATCTTCACATTTTATTTGCTGTATGAAATATACTCATTCACATGTTCCTGGAATTTGGATATGGGCATGTTTCAGGGCTATTACTCTGCTCACCATATTGGATAACTCTTTTCCTCCTATTTTATTTACTTTGCATCCTAATAATTTTGATCTAACATTTGATATGACATAGTATTTACATTTGGTTCATATATTTTGAAAAATTCTAAAAAAGATAGGTAGGGCAATAAGACAGTCACCATAAGGATATGATTGTAGCCTAAAGAAACTAGAATGAAAAAGAAGAAAGTCAGTAGCTTGATGCAGACTTAGATGTGGTTTCTGCCATACATTTATATAGTGAATCTTACAATTTTATTTTATGTGTATACAGTATACAACCTTATACTGTCAAGCACCAAACACTCGTGAATCATGGTTTTTTAAAAAATCTGAAATGTATTTTACCTTCAGGATATAAAACTGGCCTTGGGTGGATATATGATGAAGAAAATTAAGGTAAATATAGTTGCAAAAAGGCAGTTATAGACCTATCTCTCTCAGTACCCCATCCGAAGTATAAACATGCTATTGACCAAAGTCAAATTTTCTATTTGTGGGTACCTGTAAGATCCTCAGTTCCTAATAGCAGACCAGCTGCATGTTTCCTACTAAAATGGAAATCTCTCTGTTACATAACAAGGACCTTCAAGCTACATCCTCTGTACCAAGACCTGAAATCCCAGCATAAATCCTGACATTCCTCCTTGTGTAACAAATCTGGATTTTAGATGTAAATTGTATAGAATAATCATTTTGAGTAACTGACCAACTATAAGTCCAGTTTTAAAACCTGTTTGTAAATGATGTTCTATTCAGCCAAACATTTACCAACCCTTCAAGGGCAAGTATGCAAGAGCATTGGATTTGATACTTGCGCAGGAGATAAATCTGCGGACATCTTCAACATGAATGAAGTTTATAAACAAAACCTTAAAATGTCTTTTATATAGCAGGCGTTCAGCATTCTTGTTTCATTGTATTGGCCTGGAAATCCTCCACAGGAAAAAATTAATTACCTCAGGACACTATAGTCATAAATTCTTCATGCAAAAGAATGCCTTCAGTTAGAATATCTTTGGAGCTATTTTTTGTTACTGAAGAATAGTTGAAAACACAGATTCCTTTAAAAAATAATATAATAAACAGAATAATAGACCAGTTTATACCCTAGAGGTTCTAAAAAGAATCTGTGTTCAACTGAAGATAACATTTGGCTCCTGTACTAGAAATGTGTGTGACACATACAGTTGCATGGTCCTAAAGATCTGCATGGTCCTAAAGATCTAGAATCGAGGAATCATAAATAAACAAGACTGGAGATGATGTTTGACATTTTAGTAAAGTGGTCTTTAAGTACAGCTATATCTCACAATCACTTAGGGGAATTGTAATATTACAGATTCCTGGGGCCTACCACAGGCCCACTGAACAAGAATATTTGGGAATAGTGTCAGAGGATTGAAATATGGAACAAGAACTGAAAATGACTATTCAAAATCAGTCTCATTTACAACATTTCTCACAAAATCTGGTTTCTGCTTTGTCCGTCTCCATTGATGGGAACTCTCAAGCACCTGAAGCAGCTTGTTCTGTTTTCACAACATATTACTTCTAGACATTATTTTTCAGCATTTAGCATTCAGTCTTAAACTGTTCTGTATTCTCATTGGTATCACAGAGGCTAGAAAGTGCTAAAAACTATATTATCAAGATTTCCATGCAACTAAGGATCTCAATGTGACACAAATTTTACTGATGAGATGCACTTGTATGGGATTTAAAGGAAAAATAGAGGAAGAAGCCTCTTGCCTGTTGTCCTGATCGTCAGTGCTAGCCAGGAAGGATGTGATTTTAGTGAACATCAGATTTTAGTGTTCATTTTTCAGTCTTTTAGATGCCAATAATTAGTGGGTGTAGTGGCCATTTCTTAACCTGACGCTAATCTCTGGATTGCTGATTTGGGTGTCCATTTGCCAGCTTGGCAGTGTTCATAGGCTGCTTCTCAGTGAATGAACAGCTCCAGACCTACGCCAGCCATGGTGGCCTCAGGGGTAGAACTTTCCTTAGGGGGCCAGTTCTGTGTTGTTTTAGAGACATTGTGAGACACTGGCCAGGAGTTTGTTCCTTCAGCCCTTCCAACAACTTTGTAAACATTTAATTTCCTCTACCAAATCTCTTTTATTTTATGAGAAAACTAAAGTCCAGGGAGGAAAATGACTCATAACTGTACAGTTTGCTAGTGGTAGAGACAAGATAAGAATCCGGGCCTCTTAACTCCCAGTCAAGCGCTTTTCTACTTGAGCATGCATATCCAAGAGAGAGAAAATTCATGCAGGGTTTTCTGCATCACTTTGTGAGTGTGAAAGCTGTATGTGTGTGTGTGTGTGCATGTGTGTGCATGCAGACCTGTTCCCAGAGCATCCATATGTATCAGAGATTTGGAGGAAGTAAATTCAAGTTTGTGTGACTGCACCTTGATGTCTACTGCCTTTATATGGCAGTTACCACATATAAATAAAAACTTATCCGCTACCTTCTCCTTTAATATAATGATGCCATAGTGATAGAGCATTCAACCCTCAACATCTTAGAATAATACATTTATACATTTATACAATGTGATATACATTTATACAATGTGATAAATGTATTTAATAATACATTTATCACATTGATATTCCACATTGATATTGCATATGCCAGGATAGCAAAAGGGCAATGGGAAAACAAGTGAAGTTTGAGCCTGAAGGAACATAAGAGAAAATGCAAGAAAATTCAGATCCATCAGTGACCTCTAGCATCTGTTTCATCATTTTCTCTTGACCTGTCTGTCTTCCCAAAGCAAAATTGATAGGTGAAATCAGGCTTCCGTGTTTTCCAATAGTTTATATAAATAAATTCTTAAATCCTGTAATTAAGTAGAGTTATATATATGAGACACCTGGGATAACTTTTTCAAGAAAAGATTGGCAGATCTGGAAGGTGAGAAAAAATAAATACCCCAGAGTAGAGGAAAAGCATGGATCAATAAAAGAAAGAAAAAACATCATGAAAAATGTTGAGTGGAAGAGATTCCATTAAAAATCTTTACAAGCACTTGCCCAATCTACTTTTATCAAGCATCTGTTATGTACAAGATACTGTAAACATAGATGTTATGTGAGCTGTTGTTCAATGCTTTTACAGAAATCAAAAGTTTCTGGTGGTTCTGTAAAATATCTACTAACCCTAGTCAAGAAGAAAATCTGGCTGACAGGGCAAAAATATTCCTGAGTGAACCTGTGACAGTACCTATTGATCACAGCTTATTTTCTGAAGGACTTACAAAGTCTCTGTTTAATTATTCAGTATAGAATTTGGCCTGAGATCAACAACAAAATATCAGTGAATGATTTGCTAAATATTTGTTCTACATTTGTAAAATCAGACAATTGTTTACTCTCTATCTTTTGTTACTTGTCTAATTCTACATGATTTTTAAAGTTTTGTTAGCACAGCCGGGCACGGTGGCTCATGCCTGTAATCCCAGCACTTTGGGAGGCCGAGGTGGGCAGATCACAAGGTCAGGAGATCGAGACCATCCTGGCAAATATGGTGAAACTGTCTCTACTAAAAAATACAAAAAAATTAGTCGGGCGTGGTGGCGGGCACCTGTAGTCCCAGCAGCTCTGGAGGCTGAGGCAGGAGAATGGCGTGAACCCGGGAGGCGGAGCTTGCAGTGAGCCGAGATTGCGCCACTGCACTCCAGCCTGGTGGACCGAGTGAGACTCCATCTCAAAAAAAAAAAAAAAAAAAAAAAAAAAAGAAGAAGAAGAGAGAGAAAAAAGGTTTGTTAGCATGGACCAATAATTTAATTTACAAGTTTTCTCAGTACCCTGATTTGTAGTTAATTAATAAAACATGTATTTACTGAGGACTTTCTGCTAGGATAGGCACTGAGACATCAACAATGAACAGAATATAATGCTTATGCTCAAAAGTTTGACCTTCTGAGTGGTAATTAATTACAATAAATTGTGATTTTACACCAAGACAGCATAGCGTGTTGTAGGTGTCTACAGCAGATGAAAGTCCTCCTAGAAGCCGTGATAGGGTCACCTAGGCTGTATCCCACATAAAGCAACAAGAGGTCTTTTATATTCTTCTCACTTACCTTAGACTTCAGTGTCCTTACGCAGCACTAGTTCAGGCTTTTTTCACAGACTGTCATGCTTTAAAGCAGAGAAAGGCAAAGTAGCAAGGGAGAGAAGTATTATTTTTTTTGTATCTAACCCGGTACTGTTTTAATCAGTCATCTCTCACGTTTTCATCTTCTTGCTCAGAATATAGTTTAACTCTCCTTATTCCTTCTTTTTTGTTGTTCTAAACATTTTTATAAGCCTTGATCATTAGAGATTATAACATTCTTGACACTTGGTGCTGGCCTGAGCTATTCTTTATAGTCATACAGTCAACAGATCCTTCCTTCCTTCCTCCTTTCCTTTCCTTTCCTTTCCTTTCCTTTCCTTTCCTTTCCTTTCCTTTCCTTTCCTTTCCTTTCCTTTCCTTTCCTTTCCTTTCCTTTCCTTTCCTTTCCTTCCTTCCTTCCTCTCTCTCTTTCTCACTTTCTTTCTTTCTCTCTTCTTTCTCTCTTTTTTTTTCTCTCTCTCTTTCTTTCTTTTGCATCAAATGTTTAGGGATAGTCACTTCTCTGGAAGCAAGTTCTTGCCCTCAAGGAGCTGACATTCTATGAGAACAGACAAAAACAAAGTAAACAATTAAAATATATGATATTATAGATGGCAGAAAGTGCTATGGAGATAAATAAAGTAGGGATTAGACTTGTCAAGGGTTGAGGTTGTAATTTTAAACAGAGGGCATCAGTTAGGTGGCATTTGAGAATGGCCTGGAGGAGGTGAAATGTTTCATTCATCTCATTTTTATTCTTGTCTCTATGCTCTTTCTTTCATCTTTTATACAGAACTGAAAACATTAAAAATAAATCATTGTTTATTATAAAAGTTTATTATAGAAAACAAACAATAAAAACTACATATGAAAAAAGAAAAATATGGAATACATCTCTATTCCCATAATGTACGTTGTTGATACGTATGTGTATGCCTGTATGTGTATGTGTATATCTGTGTGTTCATTCACAAAGATGGGATCAAGTATAGTCTTTTTTAAACTGTGGTTTTCAATGACATTATGCCATGGACATCTACAAACTCATTTTGAATGATTAAACCATCACTTATCATTGGAAATTAAAAATAACCCACAGAGGAACAACCTTGTAATTACATCTTTGAATATAGTCATCACTGAATATTTTCTTAGGATAAATCTATAAAATAGAATTGTTATGACAAATATATATTTCAACAGCTAATATGTATTTTTTAAATTGCTCTTCAGGAGATTAAAAAGAGCCCAGAGGTGAAGGATGATGCTTAGGAGAAATGTGGACATGTGGGCCTGGGGCCTCATATGGCAGTTGCTATGGGCTCTACTTGAAAGTGAAGATGAACCTTTTGGTGATCTCATTACAAATTTAGCTGGTGGGAGGAGGCTGAGGACATAGATATAGACAGCTAAGAAGGCTCAGGCAAATAACTGGAATCAAGGAGTAACAAGCAGTTTCTCCTACACTTTCTACTGTGAGCAAGGTATGTTTCCCTTCATGAGTGTGCTTTTCATGGTTTTAGGAGATGGACATAATGGTCACGGAAGCTTATTTAAATATTTGTAACAACAGATGTACATATCCAAAGGACAAAAATCTCCATGTCAAAATACCTCGCTCGAATTAAATTGTTTTCTTTAAGCAAATGTAGTTTTGAATACACTTAGCTTTATGGTGACTTAAAAATGATTTGTTACTTGGAATTCCTTTGTCATAAATATGTGAGTAATTTGTGCCTGTTAAGCCTCAACAATGATTTACTTAACAAGTCTATAATAAGAAATTCATATAGTCCTTAAAATTTCAAACCAAAGCTAGTCTGAAAGACTGACCTTCAGAAATATGGTAAGTCTATATCTCCTTTCCACTCTTTCTAACAATCGCTGAGCAGAGGTGGGGAGGCTTTGGTGGGAAGCAGGTTTGTTGTCATGGTCACCACTGATGAATTCTTATTTCTGAGGACCTCACAAACAGGAAACTGACAACTGAAATGATCTTTAAAATGACCTTTTGTAAGTGCCTTTCAGATTAAAGATGCTTTTAGTTTTGTCTGAAGCTTATATGTGAAACTGCCTTAGATTAAAGGCTTTTTGGCATTCTACTCATGACCTCCTGCACCTCCTGCCGACCTCTACCACTTATTAAGCTTTCTGGAGTTCAAATATTTCTTTGGAGACTGATATTGGGGAATGGGATTTATACAGATGCAATGAAAGCTACAGTCACTAATGTGCAGTCTGCTTTGAACAGACATGAACTATAACACTCGTACTGAAGTGGGTTCTCTCCTGGCTGTAGTGTGTTAGAGTGAAATGAGTGTTTAGGTCAGAGAAAATCTGGATTCAAATCTGATTCACCATTTACTAAGTCGGCAAATTACTTATTCTCTCTGAGCCTCTGTTTCCCACAAATTACCTGGCAAATGTGGGTAATAAGAGTTACCTGGTAACACTGTTGGAAGAATGGAAAGAAATGATTATACAAAGCCTCTGTCTCATAGTAGTTTCCTTTCTATCCTAACAAACATGACTTAAAAGACATAAACATAGAAAAAAAGTAAGATATACATTTTTCTTCAGGAGCAGAAATTGTGCTTTCTAGAAAATTTTCTTGTCATTCAGGATCTACCCCTAAAGCATTTGATTTTCCTATTTACAGTAATGTATCAGTTATAAAACTTTCAAATTTTTAATCTAGTGAGATGGATTTTATAACTATCATGACTTCTTAGATACAAAATGTTAACTGAGACAGCAATTCTGAGATTTCAAAAGAGCTAAACTGCAATGAAAGTGCACTAATGTAAAGATAATGTAGCTGTTGTTGCTAACTAGCATTGTAATCTGGTTTGCCACCTATGCTCATTAAAAAGATAGTGGGTCCAGCCAGTGAAAGGGTATTCTTTCTTAGATTTAGGTAAAAGTATAAGGAGACAAGAATTAAAAGGTCATAAAAATGTCCTAAGGGAACTAAATTAAAATAATACTTTACTAAAAATTAGAACAAAAGTAACCAAGAGTTTCCTATTTTTAGTGATTTCTGTAAGTGTGTGTATGTGTTTGTGGGTGTGTTGTGTAGGCATGAGCATCTTTTCATGTTCATACATGAAATGTATGTTTATATACTGCATAGTCGTTAAGAAGCAAGATTTTATGGTCAGTTTGGCTTCTAAACTCAGCTTTGCCATCACCTAAACATGCAGCCTTAGTGAAGCTTAACTGTCTGCGCTGCAGTTCCTTCACCTGTAAAGTAGGTATGCTAATAAAATCTAACTCACAAGAGATTTGGAAAATATAAATGAGCTAATGCATGTGAAGTGCCTAGCACATAGAATATACTCAAATTTATTAGTAATTAGTCTCATTGGCATTAAATTGTCATTATTATTCAGGTGTGAGCATGGGCCAGTGTTAGTGATCTGACTTGTTTAGTCAGATGTTAGTGCTGACACAGGCTAACATTATCCCGACTCTTTCAAAAACTTTTTCCCCTCTGAACTTCAATTTTCTCAATAAGAAAATGCAAGGGGTGGTCAAGATAGTCTCTAAAACATCTTCCAGTTTCAAATGTTGCCCTATAATGTAACAAATGTTACATGAATTTTTATATTTATTCTGTTAGATAATATGAGTTTTATGTTACTGAAATTTGGGCCTGTTAAGGTGAACTTTTCTTTCTGTACTGTTTCTTCTTTACAGTGTGTGTGTGTGTGTTTGTGTATGTGAAACCGCCTTTGCGAAATTATAACTGAGGAAATTATGACAGTGAGAGAGATCAGACCTAATTGACTCCATCTTCCTTCTAACCCTTAAGCTGTCCTAGTTCATTCCTGAGTGTAGGCTGAATTAACTTGGGGAAGGAATTCAGTTCATGGTTTGACTGTGAACAAAATTGATAACAGCCCTTTCTCAAAAAGACCACCTTCTTGCCTGGGGTCCAGTCTGCCTTTGCAGGACTAACAAATTAACTACAAGAGTAGAAAGTACAATTTAGGGGTCATGCAGCCTCTGGCTCCAAGAGTCTGAACATCCCCAAATTGCTCCTGGGGATAACATCACTATTGTAACACCTAAAATCAGTGCTTGACAGATTTTGCAGACCTTACACTTGACAGATCAGCTGACACCACCTAGACTGGTAATTTGGCTCAAGCAGTTCTGCCATTGCACCCAGGAACAGAAGACATTAAGAAAGCCTAACTTCGACTCGCTATGATTCCATCCCCAACCTGACCAATCGGTACTCCCCACTTCCCAAGCCCCTACCCACCAAATTATCTTTAAAAACTCTGATCCCTGCATGCTCAGGGAGACTGATTGGAGTAACAATAAAACTCCCAGTCTCCCACACAGCCTGCTCTGTGTGAATTACTCTTTCTCCATTGCAATTCCCCTGTCTTGATAAATGGGCTCTGTCTAGGCAATAGACAAGGTGAACTCATTGGGCAGATACATATGGATGTGCATGGATGTGTTCATCCTTTGTCTTAGACAGAAAGGTATGGGGCTATCAATAACCAACCATAGAATATCAATTTTAATCATAAAAGTTGTCTGAAGAAGCCACTCTATTGGAAATAACAATTCCTTATTCTTTCAGGAGATTAAAAAGACAAAGGTTTGGATACAAAGTACAGGTAGGAAAGTTTGTGTGGAAAGTGATAGATGGTTTATTAGCCCATTTACACACTATTGTTTTTTGAGACAGAGTCTCGCTCTGTCGCCCAGGCTGGGGTGCAGTGGCACCATCTCAGCTCACTGTAAGCTCCGCCTCCAGGTTCACGCCATTCTCCTGCGTCAGCCTCCAGAGTAGGTGGGACTACAGGCACCCGCCACCATACCCGGCTAATTTTTTTTGTATTTTTAGTAGAGACGGAGCTTCACCGTGTTAGCCAGGATGGTCTCCATCTCCTGACCTCATGATCCGCTTGCCTTGGCCTCCCAAAGTGCTGGGATTACAGGCATGAGCCACCGTGCCCGGCCTATACACTATTATAAAGAAATGCTTGAGACTGGGTAATTACAAAGGAAAGAAGTTCAATTGACTCACAGTTCCACATGGCTGGGGGCACCTCAGGAAACTTAGGATCATGATGGAATGTGAAGGGGAAGCAGGCACCTTCTTCATAAGGTGGCAGGAGAGAGAGAGTGTGTGAAGGAGTAACTGTCAAACACACGAAACCATCAAAACTCACGACAACCCACTCACTATCGTGAGAACAGCATGAGGGAAATGTCCCCCATGATCCAATCACCTCCCACCAGATCCCTCCCTTGACATGTGGAGATTATAAGGATTATAATTCAAGATGAGAGTTGGGTGGGGGCACAGAGGGAAACTATATCAGTTGGGCACTCTGACAAACATGCTGAGGCCAAGGAGCTTTGTCTCAGTCCTGATACTTTTTCATTTAACATTTCCCAGTCATTTAATTTTAGTGAGCTTTCACCTTCATCTTCTGGAAGGCATGAGGTGTCTTGGTCATGGGATCCTTGAGATAAGTAGGAGAACGCGAAACAAGTGGTTTTAGTGGGAAGCATTTCATGGACAACATTTTTTTCTCAGACATAAATAGTTTTGTTTTACTTTTTAAACGTTTAATAACTGTTCTCAGAAACATCTTTCTTTGAACCTTCCATGTGTGAATGAGATAAAATTTTTAAAATGAATAAACACTTACTGAATATTGTCCTATGCTGTTTGACCAACATAATCTCATCACATACTTAGGCATTTTAAATAATGTGGAGAAATGGAGCCTTTGCCCAAGGGAAGGTAGTAATTGTATTTAACATGCTATGTAGTTCAATAAGACGGTGACCTTGTGGACTCTGTGCTCTGTGTGTGTGTGTGTGTGTGTGTGTCTGTAAAGTTTTTTTCCAGGATCATTCTTCATTTATCTGTGTTTCAACAGCAAATGTAGAAAATATTATTATTATTATTATTAATCTGTGCATGGCCAACTCTATCAATTTCAAAGTAGAAGAGTTCCAAATCTAGATAATAATGCTTGCTTCTGGGTTTGTGGGTTCATATGAAGAAAATTAGTAAAAGTCTATATACCTCGTTGATCTGCAGAGAGAACTTCCACAGTTCCACTTTTCTTCCAGTTTCTTTCCTTCTGGAAACTTCTTTCCTTAAAATGGATAAAAGAAACTTTTAGGCTTTTCTAACTTTTAGTTCTGAAGGCAGAACACCTGGGTTTAAATCCAAGCTTCATTGCTTACTAGGTTGGAAATTTGGGGTAGGTCATTTCTTTATGCCTCAGTTTAATAATCTGTAAAAGGATAATTGTAGGAATTGCTCCATTGGGTTATTGTGAGGGTTAAACAAGTAATATGTACAGAGTGCTAAGAAAAGTTCCTGGAACATAGTGTATGCTTACTGAATGTTATGTTACTATGCGTGCGTACACACACACACACACACACACACAGACACACACACACAGTGCAATCTTTACTATATCTGAAGGCCCCTTTCTCTCATCAGGGTTTCATTTAGCTGCACAGCATATTAAATAAGATCACCGTCTCTTCTTGGGTAAAGCTTCCATGTGTTTTATATTATTTAAAATACTTAACTATTTGATGAGATTATGTTGTTCAATGACCTTAGTAAAATGATCAATAAGTGTGTATTCATTATTTTCATTTCATCTCATTCACATCTGCAACATTCAAAGAAAAATATTTCTAAAAACAGTCGTTTCAAATATACATTAGTAGATTAAAGGTAAAAAAAAAATGCAGCAAAATAGGATGTTCTGTTTTTACGTGATTCAGTTTTGTCCGAAACAACTTTGAGAGTTACCTAAATGCACTTTGTTTACTCTCATTACATTCCTTGCTGTCATGGTTTATATTCCAAGTCCAATCAAGACCAATGTGTCTTGTAAGCAGAGTAATGGCTGTCCAAAGATATCAATTTCCTAACCCCCAGAAGCTGTGAATATGTTACCTTCAATGAAAAAGGGACTTTTCAGATGAAATTAAATTAAGAACTTTGAGATGAGATGTTATCTGGGATTATCTTTGGGGGTGACCAATGTAACCACAAGACACTATAAGAGGGATAGGGGAGGGTCAGAGTCTGAGAGAGATTTGAAGATGCTACGGTGCTGGCTTTGAAGATGGAAGAAGAGGCCATGAGCTAAGCCATGTAAATGGCCCCTAGCAGCTGGGTGGAAGAAGATAATGGATTTGCTTCTGGAGCATCCAGAAGGAACATAGCCTTGAAAACATCTCAATTTTAGCACTTCTGACCTCCAGAGTTGTAAGATAATAAATGTGTGTTGTTTTAAGCCATGAAGTTTCTGGTAATTTGTTACAGTGGCATTAGGAAGCTAATATGATGTGGTAGTAGCTTTGTTCACCTATATTAAAAGGGATATTTTAGAGGTTCTATAAGTATTATGAAGAACAAAATATTATAGTCAATAACTGCATTTTGTGGGTCATTTAATGTCTCAGAAGATTTTGTTCTTACAACTTTTTCATGTTCCCTAGGGCAGTTTTATGAAGCTATTTATTTTTTTGGATGGCATGTCATGTTTAAAAGTCTTTTTCCCCAAAGCATAAAATGGTCTAAAATGTCCCTTTTTTATGGTCTAAAGTGTCCCCATTTTCTTATAATACTAAAGTAAAAATTTGTATTTACTAGAAATGATGTATTTTTACTAGTCTCCAGAGATGAGATCATATGCTAAAGAATACACTGGCTTTGAAAGGGACAACAGTCTATGATCAAATACAGGAATTGCTTTCTCATAGACCATTCCTTTTGGATTTCCACATAGGGCTCATGTGTTCCTATTTGCCTGAGCATAAATGAACCATGCATTTTGTTGACAGGGCAGTGTAGAGCATCAAACTGTAGCACCTGAAGCACGTCTTTGAATGATGTCTTTGCATTGGAAATTTAGCTCTATGACATTGTTATTGTTACCGTCTATAGTCAGGTACCAGGCTACCTAGATAAACAAAGAGTTTTAATTTAATGCATGTTATTAACCATTTCACATTCCTGTCCTATCTGATCATGACAAAGCCATTTGCAAACTAGTCTTAAGTAAAGCTACTGAAACAGAAAAACTGGATATATATTCTTTCTTATATTCTTCTTCTGCTGCTGCTTTTAAAAATCTCAGAACACAAATCCTTCTTCCTTTTTGTTTCATCTTTGACCTCATATTATCAACATAAACATAGAGATTAAAGTTTTAACCTTGGTCTATACAAGGCTGTAAATTCACACGCTGACAGAGGTGTAGTAGGTAACACATGTAAGTGTTGCAGGCAGTGACCAGGAGTGGTGAACCGGAGCCCACAGACTCTCTCAAAGGGATTAGCTGCTCCCCAGCCCCAGATAATTTTTGGCATGTTAAAACGTAGGTATAGTATTGCCAGAAATATTTTTAAAGAGAAGCCAGAAATCTATGTTTTTATTTGATATCTCTCAATTTTTAAACCACGTAGAACAGACCTAACTTTGTTAACATGGATTCATCCTGTTTTTATAATATTATAAGCTGACTTTAGATTATAATGATTCTATTTCATGTTTACTGTATATATATAAAATATTTTGTATTGTCTCTTTTTTTTCTTCCTAGGGCTTCATTTATTTATTAATTTTTGGAGGAGTAGAGGGACTATGGAAGCCCCTAGAAATGTCAATTAAGGAGAATCTCGGAACATTAAGGAATAATTATTTGAAAAATTGCAGTGAGACAGGAGAAGGAACAAAATGGTTGATTAGAATCCTTCATTAATTATCCTTCCTGCTAGAACACCAAATTGAACAACTATCCACATAAGAAACACCTTCATAAGAACCAAATATCAGATGAGTGATCATAGTACCTGATTTTAACTTCGTATCACTGAAAGAGGTATGGAAGAGGGTAGGAAAGACAGTCTTACATTGCTAATAGCACCCCCCCGCCCACCCTCTTCGCTCCCAGCAGCAGCCACATGGTGTAGAGAAAGAATCCGTGTGCTTCAGGGAGGGAGAGTATAGGATCTGTGGGACTGTGCATTGAAAGTCAGTGCTGCCTTGTCACAGCAGAAAGCAACACTTGGCAGAATTCAGCTGGCACCCACTGAGGGAGCATTTACAGCAGCTCTAGCCAGAGGGGAATTGCCTATCCCAGTGGTTGGAACCTGAGTTCTGGCAGGCCCCTCCACTGTAGGTTTAAGGGCTCTGGGGTCCTAAATAAACTTGTAAGGCAATCTAGGCCACAAGGACTAAAATTTTTGGGCAAGTTCTGGTGCTGTGCTGGGCTCTGAGCCAGTGGACTTGAGGGACATACGACCTAGTGAGACACCATCTGGAGTGGCCAAGGGAGTGTTTACTCCAGCCCTCCCATAGCCCCAGGCAGCACAGCTCACAGCTCTGGTACAGATACCTCTCCACTTGAAGAAGATGAGAGGGAAGACTAAGGAGGACTTTGCCTTGCAACTTAGATACCAGCTCAGCCACAATAGGATAGGGTACTGAGAAGAATCATGAAGCCTCCACTTCAGGACCCAGCTCCTGGATGACGTTTCTAGACACACCCTGGGCCAGAAGGGAACATCCTGCCTTGAAGGGAAGGACCCAGACATGGAAGAATCCATCACCTGCTGACTAAAGAGTTCCTTGAGCCCTGAATAACCAGCAGTGATACCCAGGCAGTACTCACCATGGGCCTTAGGTGAGACTCAGAGATGTGCTAGCTTCAGGTGTGACCCAGCGTATTCCCAGCAGTGGTGGCTACATCGAGAGACTTCTGCTTGAGGAAAGGAGAGGGAAGAGCGAAGGGGAATTTGTTTTGCAGCTTAGGTACCAGATTGGCCATAGTGGGGTAGAGCACCAAGCACGCCCTTGGGGTCCCCTATTCCAGGACTTGAATCTTGAATGGCATTTCTGGATCTGCCTTGGGCCAAAGAGGAGCCTACTTCCATGAAGGGAGAGCCCCAGGTCTGGCAGCATTCACCATAAGCTGACTAAAGAACCCTTGGACATTGAGTGAACATCGGCTAGCCAGGCAATATTTGCCATGGCCCTGGGGCAGTGATGGCTATTGGCAGAGACTCCTTTCCTCCTTGAAGTGGAGGGAATATTTGGAAAGCCTTTGTCCAGTGGCTTGGGTACCAGCTGGGATGAGTAGAATAGAGCACTAGATAGATTACTAAGGTTTCTGACTCCAGGCCCTGGCTCCTGGATGGCATTTCTGGAACCACCTGAAATCAGGGGAACTCACTGCCCTGAAGGGAAGGACATAAGCCTGGCTGGCTTTGTCACATGCTAATTGTAGAGCCCTAGGAACTGGAATGAACATAGGCAGTAGCCAGGCAGTGGTGACACTCAGTACTGTGCTAGCTTCAAGTCAGACCTAGTCCCAGTCACAGTAATCACAGAGGTGCTTGTGTTATCCCTCTCCCAGCTCTAGACAGCTCAGCGTGTGCGCGCGCGCACACACACACACACACACACACACACACACACACATACACATACACACGGAGATTAAGAGAGAGAGAGAGAGAAAGATACTCGATTTGTTTGGAGAAAAGTAAAGGAAGAGAACAAGATTCTCTGCTTGTAATTCAGAGAATTATTCTGGAAGTTATTTAAGACCACCAAGGTGGTAACTCCACAAGTCTGCAAGAGCCACAGCATTACTGAGCTTTGTGCACCCTACAATACAGATACGACTGCAGATACCAAAACTTAGATTAAAATACCCAAGTCCCTCTGAATATTTGGAAACTCTTCCCAAGAACAGGTACAAAAAGGCCTAACTGTGAAGACTACAATAAATACTTAACTCTTCAATGCCCAGATACTGGCAAACATCCACAAGCATCAAGACCACCCAGGAAAACATGACCTCATCAAATAAACATAGCTGGTACCTTATTTAGGGGGTACCAGTTCTAGAGAGACAGAGACAGGTGATGTTTTAGACAGAGAATTCAAAATAACTATATTGAGGAAACACAACAAAATTCAAGATAACACAGAGAAAAATTTATAATCCTATTAGCTAAATTTAACAAAGAGATTATAATAATTTGGAAGAACCAAGCAGAAATTCTGGAGTGGAAAATGCAATTTCACTACCGAATAGTGCATCAGAGTCCTTTAGTA